AAAGGGTGGAGAGAGGGTATGACAGAAGTTTATGCACTCATGGAAGAGATGAACAGTGAAACACAATTAGCTATTACTCCAGGGTGAAGAATGTCACATGAAATTATGTAAGTGCAGGTTTTCAGTAAATGAAACTATTCTTTTTTCACCATGCAAAATTAAGCTATTAATTACTCTGCGATCTTGTGGATTTTGAGATATATATTAAATAAATATTATATTTTCATATAATCCAGATACAGGTGACATCAAAACATGGTTAGACAAAGCAGAGAGTGAAGCAAGGGCTATTAAAAGTATAGATCCAGACAGAGCCTTGGAGGTACCTGGGGGCTGTTGAATGAAGAGAGGCAGACAGTCTTTGGAAAGCCGTAAGACAGTACTGGAAGATGATGCCAAGATTTCTGCTATCTTGAAATAAGGTAAAACCTGTTTCTGTGTTGAGAAAGTTGAAACAGTATTTATTTTCCTATTTTTGTGAAGCTTTTATTTTCACATCACTTTACAATCCACAAGCATCAATGTTTTGTATATATATAAACACCTTTTAACATTCACCACCTTCAATGCCACCAGAATAACCCTTCCTTACAGGTGAATCTTTACAGATGCCGGAGTTGTCAATACTAGGCTCTCACACTTCTTGCCAACTAGCCAGGTGTTAAGCAAAGGGTAGGCAGTGAGCCCGCACCCCTGGATTTGTGGTCTGTCAGAATTCCTTGCCAGGATTCCCCTTGCCTTCCCAAATAAAGGCACATACAAGCAAGCAAACAAAAATGAAGGAAAGTAAAGGTGGGACTCTTTACCATAGATTTTCTCTGGCTGTAAATGAAAATTGCTGTGGCAGTACTGAGTAACGTGAGCTGTGGATTTCTTTTAAGTGTTTACATTTACGATTATCAAACTTGGGTATTATTTTATAAAACATAGTTGGCTCTTCCAGACGTTTCTTCTTAGATTATTTAAAGATCTTACATATCTGACTTCATTTTCTAAACCTCTGAAAGCAAAACTGAATTCACTTTGCCATTTTGCAGACACACATGCAAGTTCTAGTTTCTTTTGTTATCTATACAAATTGCTAGATCAAACTTAAAATTTATTTAAATCTCTGCTGATGAAAGCGTTTCTCCTTCCAGACACGCCTCATAAAACCAAGATCAGTACTAAGTGCAACACACAGGACAGATCTTTTACTTCAATGTACAGAAACAAACACATCATTTTCAGCAGTACTTTACATACTTAAACAAGTTTTTATTATCTCACAAGTCATATGCATAGCATTTCACCACCTTTTAGCTTTCCTACACACTCTCTTTAACATAGCATTCTTTTCTGGTCGGATTTTTGGTCACAGTGTTTTAAAAAGCAAAGACTCTTTACTGTGTTGTAATCAGCATCATATAACAGAAGTCATTCTTGGTTGGATGCTCTGGGTGAACTGCAGACTGTGTGAGGCAGACCTGAGCCTGACAGCAATACTGGACATGCTTTACAATCAAAGCCCAATGTAAGCATTGATCCAACTAACCCGTGCCTGCCTGGCCATGGTCCCCCGTCCTCAGCAACTTTCCTTAAAGATGAGGTTTAAAGGACACTGCAACTAGAAGAGGCCTTTTTAATTTTTTTTTGTCGACAACAGAACTCAAGCTTCAGAAAAATAACACCTAGTGACTTTTCACAGGGCAAGCAACTCTCCTTTGATTCACTCTTTATATATTCTGCTAGATTATTTTCTCTCACAAAAACAACTTTAGCCACTCCCTTTGTGCAGCAGCATTGAAATCAAGGTAGTGAGGATACCAGAAAGGTTTCTTACAGCTATAAGAAAGCCCACAAGATTTCAAAGGGAAAACAACTGTAACTCTTACTTCTATCCTGCCCTGAGCTGCCTGCTGCTGTTGTTATCCCTACATCTTGCTAGCAAAATTATTCAGTTTGTTAGTTGCAAATTAGCAGTTAGTTTATCTGTTCCTTGTCTTCCAAACTCAAGCCATCTCGACGTGCGGAAACTATTTCCCATATCAATCTAAGAAGGTCTCGGAAGTTTCTTTCTCCAGCCCTGCATTTTGTCTGACCGTTGTCCGAATTGGCGCACGGTGGCGGTTCCCTCGGGCTCTCACGGCACTGGGCCAGTTTTGGAGGGACCCACAGGACTGGATTTCCCTCGGGGACATGTTTTCTCCCAACACGTGGGAATCAATCCCAGTGCAGGGCCGCACTTGCAGGCTACCGAGCCCACTCTGCCGGATGCTCGTCCCGCGGCAAGGCTCTGGGCAAGGACGTCCCGGATGAACCCCGGCTCAACCTCTCGGTCCTGCCCCGCGGCGGCGATCGCCGCCCCACACCCGGCCCCGGCCCCAGCTCCGCCCCGGGCTC